TTTGCTAATAAATCAGAGACAATCAAAGATTTAGCAACAGCCACGAGGATCCTCTGCTTGCAGCATGCTCACGCACCCAGCGCCTGACATGCGTTTGGTGTGTAACTTACTCCTCATACCACAACCTCACTGACCCTGGCTCTGAGGTGCCACTCACCAGTTCTAGGAAGGAAGTTGAAACTGCAGCTCAGAAAGACCGACTGCCTCTTCCATCATGGTTTGATTCACTTCTGGACAGAATGAATTTGTTTTCCAAAACTTGCTCTGAATGACGTGCATAACAGGATGGTTCTTAGGAGCTGTGACCTAAAAAAGAGGTCAAAGCTGAGGAATTTCACTGCAGCCCCTAAAGCACAGGGGCGTCTTCCTTCCAGACAGGTGCAGGGGGCATGGGGCTGGCGCAGGGATGGCCTGACAGAGCTGGGCTTGAACTGCCACAGAAGACATTTCAGCTTCGCTGTTCCAAGGGCCCAGGTGAGTTAGGTGTAAACATGGGAAGTCAGTTCTCAATTCCCCGTGGGGGGTTTGTGAAGGAGGGGGTTTGTGAGCCTGGTGTGAGGGGGTCTCTGGCCCTGTCTATTCTGAGAGGAAGAATAGTTTCTTGGATTAGAGACAGGCTTCAAATCATTTGGGAAATCTTGACTCAGTTTCCCCACGCCTCCGTTCTCTTTGAGACCACACACTCATTCACATCATGGAAAGGAATGCTGACGTTCTGAATGTCAGAAGTGGGTCATGGCATCTGGCATGTTTACCCCTTCTCAATGGAACATGTGGAGTCTGGGGGGAGGGAGTGCTTCCTGAATGTAACTAAAGCCTGTCTGGAGAGAGGAGGTGAAGTTGAGGCTTAAAGGCACCGAAGTCTTTTACTCGTTTGTTTTTTGTTTGTTTTTGGAGACACACCGTCTCAAGTAGCTAAGCTAGTATGGAAATCTAGATTATTTCTCCCCCTCAGTAAAAGGATCGTGTGTGGGATAACAGGCTTGGCCTACCATACGTTTGTTATTTGAAAGGTAAATCATGACCTTGGAAGGTTCTTCTAATTCTCTCTTGAGGTATCTGTCTTTGACTCTCATAACTTGTTTATTATTGTAACTTGGGGTGGGGAGGGTTGTACTAGGGATTGAACCCAGGGCCTTTTACATAGCAGGCAAACACTACCACTGAGCTATACTCCTAGCTCTCATTCAAGCATCTTTTATTCTAAGGCTGCCGTTCCCTAGGCGAAAATGCAGAGAATCATCTCCTGACATCTATTTTAATTTTATTTACCACAGCAAATGGGGGTCTCATCAAGGGTTCTCCAGCAAGCCTCAGCAAAGCTGCAATTTGGAGCAGTCATACTTCACTTCTTACAGCTTGGAGGCTGTTGAGGAGGGAGGCTGGGAAGACAGTGGACACACATTGCATCCCAGCCATCTCATTAAGCCTGACTATGAGCTGGACTTGGTAAAGATTTAACCACCTCCAAAGGGGATAACTGGTACCCCCAGTTACAAAACAGTCTGTATCTGGAATTCATGTAATAATAGAATATTATTTATGAATAATATTCATAATTTAAATGTGAATATGAATAGTATTATCATAAATAAGTACTCATGAGTATTCATCAACAGTAATAAATTTATGAATATATTCCAAAAGTATGAATTCCAGAGTACCTTTTGAGTTACTCAAGTATTTGGAGTTATTTTCATTCCCCAGAACATTGTTTCATAAACCCCAGGTTAGTTTTTTGCTGTCCTAGTGTCTTTAAGACTATCTGTCGGGGCTGGGAAGGTGGCTCAGTGGTAGAGCGCTTGCCTTGTATGCCTGAGGCCCTGGGTTTGATTCCTCAGCACCACATAAGCAAAAAGAAAAAAGCCGGAAGTGGCGCTGTGGCTCAAGTGGTAGAGCACTAGCCTTGAGCTGAAGAGCTGAGGCACAGAGCCCAGGCCCAGAGTTCAGGCCCCACAACCGGACCCCCCCCCCCCAAAAAAAAAAGACTATCTGTCATGTTGCAGGCATTCAGAAAATATATGTTGAGTGAATGACTGAGTAATTGAGGATGTATAGAATATTAGACCTTGTCCTGAACAAACCACTCAGGAGTTCACAGCCCAGCCAGGACTTAGTATTGAGTAAGACACATGTGTGCGGGAAGTTCTAACAGTAGCAAACCATGTGACATCCATTCAGCCCACACACGAGAATGTGAAATGTCAGGAAATCGCAATCTGTCATTCTTGACTAATGAATCTGTCTAAAATTTCCAACATTTTAAGTGACAATTTTATTATCATCACCCCTTATATGAAACGGAATACAACTTAAATAGTGGGTCTTACAAAGAGAGAAAGGGGAAAAACCATATTATAATCACTCTGTATACAAAAATCTCATCTTCTTTTTTGAATGAAGATGAGCAGGAGTTAAGTGATATGAAGAACTTTTATAGTGTGGTAAGTATTTATGTAGATAAGACAGCCATCTTTCCAGAAGACAGTCCTCTCTTTGATGTTTCCAGAAAGTTCCTGGTCAGTCTTTACCAATATACACCTGTGATGGAGAGTACAGTCCAGTTTCTAAATTATTTAAACTCTAAATTTTAGAAAAATCAGTTTCCAGTATCCCACCAGCCCAATCTTCTTCACACGTATGTGTATGTGTTTTACTGTTAGTGCCTTGTACTTGCACTAGGCCCCAAATTTTTAAGATCTGTAGTTTTTTGTTTTTTTTGTGACAGTCCTGGGCTTGAACTCAGGGCCTGGGTACTGGTCCCTGAGCTCAAGGCCAGTGTTTTACCACTTGAGCCACAGCTCTACTTCTGTCTTTTTTGTTGGTTAATTGGAAATAAGTGTCTCATGGACTTTCCTGCCTGGGCTGCTTTATAGAGGGATCCTTAGACCTCAGCCTCCTGAGTAGATAGGCTTATAGGCATGAGTCACTGGTGCCTGGCTAAGAGCTCAGTCTTAGCTATCAGAGGAGAGAGTAAACATTTTCTATTGTAATTGCTGGCCACTGGCAAGGACACCAGGGACTGACTGAGTCACAATTCATGTTACTGATATCTGAAAAAAATCCCTCAAGTGAGAAATTATCATGAATTGAAAATGCCCTCAACTACTTACAGGAAGTATGAAAGCTCTGGCAGCCATATTTAAAATACATAGAGAAAAAAATAAGTGAAATAAATTTCAGTGATGCATTTTATTTAATCTAATATCAAAATATCATTTAAACATGTAACTAACATAACATTATTAATTATATAGCTTATCTCTATAATAAAATCTTAGAAACTTGGCTGTATTATACATTGACTACTCATCTTCATCTAGAGTAGCCATATTAAGCACTAAGTAGTTATAAGCTCTTGGGTACCTCTTGGTACCATATATATCAGTATATATGTATATATATATATAATATATATAAACATGTATATATAAACTATATAAACACATTTGTATATGCTTATAGACATAAATATATGTTTATATAAACATAAATGTATGTTTCTATGTTTATATATATAATCTTTTATCTAGGTTGTAGATTAAGTAAAAAGAAACATCTTAAAGGATATTTTGAGGATAATTATATCAGAATTTATACAGATAATATTACATTTACTTACTTTCAAATGGTTCTCCAAAAAAATGAATCAGTGGGAGTATAAAGTATTTGATTGAACAAACAAATCAGTGAGATTCCTTTCCTAGGCAACTAAGGAAGAGAAAAATTCTCCTGATAAGTAGAGGTTCTATGTTATTTTAAGGCTAATATGGAATATTGTGGGAATACACTGGTCTATATGGCAAACACTTCAGGGAGTTGGAATTATACAAAACCTGCTCTTCTAGTTAGGAATAACACAACAGTGATGATTGAAAATTCCATGGTTTGGAAATAAAATATTATCTATTTCAAGCATGAAGGATAGAGAGATAATACTGTTATGGCCACAGAATAAATCTGGTTGAAAAAAACTGTGTAGGCAGAATAAATGAGAAGAATGGATGTGATGTTGAATTATTCGAGGGTATTGGGAGCGAGTGTGGATTTCAGGCTTAGGGATGGAAAGTGGTGGTGTTAATGGTGAGAGGATCGTGTTGATTGAGACAGGGATAGTTATTAAATTGAGCTCGTGAATGGTGTAAGATGCATAGATGTGTGATCTAGGCATATTTAGGGAATAAATATGCCTATTTTGGACCAGCTCACTCTATTGAAGGCTAGGATGTGTGTGTAAGAAAGAGCTGTGGGCCTGCACACTAGCTGCAGGTGGTCAAAGCCACATGAACCCCGAAGGAGGAGGGTGAGAAGTCAGAAAGGAAGAGGGTTGAATGAGTGATTGGTTTTCAGGTGAAGGAATGATTCTGAGGAGAGAGCAGGGTAAACGCTGTTAGGACTTGAATTCTTTGCTTGGCAGTTCCTTGGGTATCCCCCAATTCACCTGCATTTTCTTTTCCAGTCTCCTTTGTCTATCTCTCTCGTAGTAATTATTCTAATCAGAAGTGCTTTAAAATTCACATTCCAGAGATAAAATCCCAATTTTGTAAAATTGGCATGGAGACTAGATTTTACATGAAAGGAACTGTTGCGAACTCAAGAGTCACACGATGCATCTAGTTTCTCGTTTTAAGGCTGAGTTAATTAGAAGCAGTGTGGGATTTTTATGTCTTAATTGCCTTCATAGAGACCTCTCCTTTAATTTGGCACTGCTATTTAGGGGCAAGAACTGCTTTTCTTTCGCATTTTGCATACAGCCTTAACATGATTTAGTCAAATGGTACTGCAGAGGCCTTTCAGTTTAGCACTTAAATGTATTATACCCCAATTTTTTAACAGTTATTTTTTCCAAAACTAGTATACCTTTTGCTTTATTAATTATCATAGGACTGCTCATTATACATCTTTAAGAAATGCAGACATATACACAATTAATAACTTTAACCTTCTTCTCTCCAGAGATAGGGACAGTTGAATATTTTTAGTGTGATGTTAAATATTAGACAGTAGGGCTCGATCTGTGGACAATGGCTTCACATGGAATAAAGATTTATTTCTGCCCTTTCTGCCACCATCTGACAGTGTGACAGTGTCACCTCTACCTCTGCTAGCTGCCATGGTTCAGGGCTCCCAGAAGGTGGTAGCAGGGAAGGAGTGGGTGGGTAGGATGTAAGGCCCAGGCCTATCATTTCCCTACTTAGGCCTGATTGGCCAGAATCTAATATCACACGTGTCTTCAACTGCTTGTAAGGAGGTCTGGGAATGCATGGGTAATTTGTTGAATTCTAAGCATCTGTGTCAAGAGTGTGCATTCTTCCATATTTTCCCCATGTGCATTTGCAAATACACCAATACATATAAGTATAGTTTTCATCATTGTGAGATGAAAATGTCTTTTCGTAATACTTTTTTTTTTTCCGAGAAGATATAATCCTTAAATATTGCCTCCACTTGTGACCCTCACCATGTCCTACGGGGATAAGCAGTGAATCTGCCTCCTGCCTCCCGTCTCCGGTGACTCTGCTCTCCAGATCTGCATTGCTTTCTTCCCAACCATCTCCACACCATCTCGAAAACGAGAGAACAGAAACATCCCAGCAGATCCTGAGGGTTTCGTCTGCTTCAATCATGCCTTTTATCGCAGCCTCACTTCTTTCAGCATCAATGGAAAACCGATTGCACTTTTCATGGCCTTCTCCTCTTGTTCTCCTTCACTTTGCTACAGTGGATTTCACTGTTAGTTGTGCCGTGCACTGAGAGCGGAAGTGCCTCTTTATGACATCTGTCAAGAGTTAGAGTAAGGCCTGCAGGGGAATGGTGGCTCAAGGGTAGAGTACCTGCCCAGGGAGTACAAGGCCCTGAGTTGAAACCCTGTACTGCCAAAAGGGTTAGCATAACAATATTCACTAAGTAGATATGTCATAAACAAACAGACATGCACGGTGAGTATCACTGCGGCTTAGGGTGCAGGTTCTGTGGTTGAGACTGCCTATCTGTGTCTGTTTCTCTACCTGCTGCTGGTTATATATCCTTGGAAAACTCACCACTGCTGCTCTACTTCAGAAGTAATACCAGTTCTTAATTTGTGAGGTGGGTAGGAGGGTAAAATATGACAGTTCATATGGAGCAATTAGCACAGTTAGCATATGATAAATAATAGTCTATCTGAAGACAAACTTAAAACATTGTCTCTAGAATTCTACTTCAACATATTAATACTAGTCCTCAGCCTACCCCATGTGTCTGTTTATGGAAGTGTAAACTTTAGGATCACACTCTGAAGTAAGTGAGGAGAAATTAACCCCTTTTGTGATGAAGTGCTTGCATAGGGTAAGTTCTGGCTTTGCATCTCCAAAGGTCTCGAGCAAGCTGCCTCTCTTCATTGTGAACACAGAACGTTGCAAACAAACAAACAAACAAACAAACAATCACTGTGTTGAGGTTCCCATGAGATGATTCAGAGAGAGTGCTAACTGGTAAATCTCTAATAATGTAGTCAATAAACATTAATGCTTGGTTTTTCCATTCCTCTCAAAATGTTATCCTATTTATTATATATTTAAAATGAAATTACATCATATAATTTAGAAGAATGTGCTTTTTTTGCTTGGGACCCCAAGTAGTTTGTAAGTTTTTCAGAAGCAAAAGGCCTCCCATATCTATCTTTGCATTCCTCCAAGTTATAAGTTAGAAGATACACAGCTATCCCAACATGGTGTATTTGTTATAAGGTTCTAGACTACTGAGTAGTCTATTATCTGTAAGAAATAGGAAATGCGTGGAGATTTTCAAAAATGTTTATGAGGGGGGATAATATATGTATGTAGGTGGTAGAGTGCTTACTTAGCATAAGAAAGGCCCAGAGTTCAATCCCTAGCACTGCAAATGTTTAAAAAAAGCTTATATAAACTTCTCTTTAGATGCTAAGAACCAGATTTTTTTGAACACTCCATGTTCCTTCCTATTTACATTAATGATTAAAGAGGAGACAACAATGCTTGATAAGAAATGCACTCATTACCTTGCTCATGTAACTGTAACCCCTCCTCTGTACAGTATTCTCACAATAAAAAACTTATTAAAAAGAATTATTTGAAAATAGGAGGTTCTCTTTTATGAGCTAAGCTTTATCATGATAAGATAATAATGCTAATACTTATGAATGAGGCCATTTGTATTGGTGTATGCTATGCTGGTGTAGGCATTTTTCTGGAAGAGCTCCTTTGATATATACAGTTCATTTACACTATGCTTTTTCAGTCTTAAATTCTAGAAATTCCAAAACTTCTGAGTAGCATGGGGTGAAAAAATCCACTCAAGTGTGTTTCTTGAATATCTTTGTGACAGTAATTTTTTTTTTTTTGAAGGAGATCGTAACTCTAAAAAGTCTGTGATTTGTGATTTAATTTGAAAAATACATTTAGAACTTGAAAAGTAATAGTAATGTACAATTGAAACTTTTATTTTGTATTCTAGAACAAGTTAAACTGAGTAAAATAATAACTGATATTATACCTGTGAGTAAAAAAATGGAGGAAGAAAAACAACTTTACCCTGGGAAGCCCAGGTAATGTTTCATTTATCTGTCATGCTATCTATGTATCTATGTATCTACCTATCTGCCTATCTACCTATCTACCTACCCACCTACCCACCTACCCACCTACCTACCTACCTACCTATCCTATTTTGCCAATATTCACTGACCAATTGCCATGGTTTCTCTATTAACACCTCTTGCTTGAGACTAATTTATCATTCTGCCCAAGTCCCTCAAAGCATATCAATTATCAAAAAATTTTAGTTTTCAGTTCAATTAACTTTTGAACTGGAGGATGTCTGAGTAGTTTAGCAAACCATCTGGGTTTTACAGTGCATAAGCTCAAATCCAATTTGTGTCTTTCTTGAGAAAAAATGCCATATTTTATGATAATATTACATAAGTTTGGAATTTTAATAACTCTGCTGTAGCAATTATAGAGCAGAGTGAGTTGTAATTTTCTTTTAAAAAATCTAATAATGAAAGGTTAGTCTTTTCCTAACAGAAGGTGAAAGCTGCTTGCACAGAACATAGTTGGAATGCAGGAATTTTGAGCATTGCTTCTTTCCAAAAGTATCTGGAGATAGGTCAGTTACTTTCTTGAAATTATTCTGCATGATTATATTACTGCTCTCAATGGGCCTTTGAAACACAATTGTTGGCCCTAAGACCACAGACAAAACCTCTGCACACCTCTTCAGTTAATTTTTTTTTCAGAAATGTGGCCTATCAACACTGTCCTGCTAAAATGCATTCTAACAGCTTGGCTACTGTCTAGGGGTCTTGGATCCTTTTGTTTCCTCATTTAATAAGGAATGATGAAGCAGGAAAAGTGAGGCAGAGGCAACTTTACTAGAAAGTAAGAGAAAGGCATCAGGAAAGGGGCGGATGGCCTCTTGGCTACTTGTGGGTTGGTACAACCCCCAACTAAGACTTCCAACGGGAAGTAGGAGGTTCTGCCCACCTGTTTCCTGGGCAAGGCAGGAGAAAAGGAAGAGGAAGCCAAGAGAGCAAGAAATCAGTAGCTCATTGCAGCACATGTGGGGTCAGCCTTTTGTATCCCTTTAAGGCCAGTCTCGGGGGTTCTCACATCTGGATGGATCACTATCCAGCTTAATCCCTGGGGAAAGGGCAGCCATCCTCTGTGCATGTTTGTTCGAGGGCTGCCAGGGTGTTGCTCTCTGCCAGGGCCGCTATCTCTGTTTTCCAGGAAGAAAAGGGATGGTTGTCTCTGCCCCTCCACTGCCTCTTCCTATCGGTCTAGTTTTTTGTTCTGCTTCTCCCTCGGCTTGTTTGACATTAATTCATCAATATGACATTATCAGAAATAGGGGGTAACTGGCACATCCTGCGTATAATAGACATCAGAGAAAGCATAGTCTTGGCTATCAAGAATATCCTATGTCTTAGATCAGGCATCATTTGCTTGGCTTATGTAGGACGATACTCAAATTTGGAAGGAATGGAATAGGTGTGGTTTCAGTGCCAGCGATTTTGTTTTATCTGTGATGAAGGAAAGATACAAATTACCAAGGAGAAGAAATTATTGTATTGGCAATTAAAGTTCTTGGACCTTTTCCTTTCTGTCTTTACCCAATTTAACTCTCAAGGCCCAGGTTCATCTAACAGAGTACCACTAATGAACAGATTTACCCAAATAGTTTAGCATTTCAAGTCAGCTTTTAATAACTAGAGAAGTTAACTTGAGCTCCTTTGAAAATCATTTCAATATATTTAGATGAGACCTATCATCTGAGAAACAATAATAATGATTTAGGGATAAGTAGAAGACTCATTAATAAAAAATCTGATTGGGTATAATATCTTTCAGTATAATGTCTTTCTCAAGAGAATGTTTTCTCCAGCAGCTGGTGGAAGAGCAAGGTCTCTTAATACCCCCAAGTTCCCATTTTTAATGAAAACATGTCCTGCTTAATGAGGAAGATCAACACCCTTTGAAATTAAGAACAAGTACATGTACTTCAGTGACAGCCTGGGGCACATAAAGCCTGAACTTCAACCCACCTGAGCTGCCTTGTCTTTATTTATAGCTAGTTCATGGTGGTAACTTGTTTCCTACCTTAGCAGTTAGCTCCATTTCATTAATGTTAGGGGTGAGATGGGAATGCTGAAAGAGACATAAATACAGAAATGCGTGTTCTGGGACATGGTGACTCAGATTCTTTGAAAACCTGGGCTTAAATAGACAAAAAGAAAAAAAATCATCAGACTGAATTTTTTTAAAAATTGAAATCTCGTTCTCTGCATGATGCAGATAGGAAAGCTTAGCAATGAGAATTAAAACAACAGAAGGAGAGCAGAATCAATTAGAAAATTAGGTAGAGAATTGTTGACAATTAGGCTCTTGGACTAATTAGCCTGAATTACCCAGTTCTTTGTGAGACTCTGCAAAGGTTTCTGCTCAATTCACATAGATTCCTGTGACAGATGTGAGGCAGGTTTTATGTGTAATCTACTTAAAGCCCTCCTAACGACACCTTGGGAAACACAAATTGCTAAGGTGACCCAATAATTTCAGGCAACTATAAGAAAATAATGGCTCAACCAAAGAAATTTCCTAGAACCGAGTATGAAGAAATAGGAAAGAATCTTCTAAACACATGCTTTTCTTTTCCACCTTTTTCTGTTTTTGATCTGCAGAGAGAAAACAAAATAGAATACGTCTTCATTTTTCACATTTAAGGTTAGGAAATGTATCTTTGTATTCAAAATTCAAAGATTGTTACTCATTAAAACATTCTTTTTTAAAGGACCATAGTGGTAGATGTAGATGTGCATTGCAAATGTTAATATTTCCATAAAAATTGAATAGTGCCCACTTTTCACTCAATATTATCTGGTGCGTTTGAAAGGATCACACTGCATTTCTGTAAGTGGATTTTATAACTCAGGCAAATAAGCCTAGTTTTGTGATCAGTGAGGATTTCCTGTGTTTTACATGGTAAGCTATGCTTAGGTTATTCTGGTCAAATTGTAAGGTAGTAAGTAATGGCATTTCTGATTTTGATGATCTTTTAAAAAAATCTGGGTTTGGATTTTCTCTATGTAACCCAAACTACCTTGGGACTACCTCCCAAGTGCTGGGATTACAGGTATGTACCACTATGCCCTGCCACCCTCTCTGTTGTGTTGAAACAACTCTGCTCTTAATGATTTTAAATATTTTTCTTAAGTTGATTGGCTGTCTGGGTCAATTAGATTCTATTAGATTGGATACAGAAGTACTGACAAAAATGTCATTTGTGGCCAGGCACTGGTGGCTCATGCCTGTAATCCTCACTAATCAAGAGACTGAGATCTGAAAATCACAGCTTAAAACCAGCCTGGGCATGAAAGACCATGAGACTCTTTAATCCCTAAAAAGCCAGAAGTAGAGCTGTGGCTCAAGTGATAGAGTTCTAACTTTGAGCAAAAAAGCTCAGGGACAGCACCCAGGCCCTAAATTCAAGCCCCAGGGTTGGCACAAATACACACACACACACACACACACACACACACACACATACACACACACATTTGCCATTTGTTCTGATTTGATGATTGCATAATACTTCATCCTGGACTATATAATACAAAACAAAAGCAACTATGGATGATCAGTCTCTTTGGCCTATTTTTGGTAGCAGATCAATAAATTCTAGAATTTTAGATAGAATTTTACCAAATTGCCTACACCCTCAAATATTTCATATTTTCTCTTGACATAGTTTAAGGGCTACTTCAGTAATATGGCCAAATCTATGGGTATGCCATATGAGTGAAACTGAAATGAATGGGCCTTCTAAGTTATTCATTTCCTGTCTATTGAGTGCCGACTTCATCCTAAATATAAAACTCTCAGCAGTCTGATCCCTCATAAACCCTAGTTTTATGGTTAGCAATTGGCTTACAAATTAAAAACTTTTATAGCTTATGATATTTGAACCAGGAATATCAATTCTAAGATTTTATACTAAGGAAGTCATCGTTATTTAAAAAATAATAATGCAACAAATAATACAACAACATTTAATGCGTCTGCATTTTCCTGATGTTCAATGGAGGTTCTTCAGAAAGCAGATGTCTCTATTTGTTACTCTTGCTTAGAATTAGCAAAATTTGTTGATAAACATTTATTCTTCAGCAGGTATAGTCCTGTTGAATTGAGTTTCTGAGCCTAGTATTTAATTGTGTAACATTAGTCTTGGAGTGTTCATATCACAAATGTGCACTGTGAAGTCACTCAATGATGGACCTTTCTATTTTGGAAACAGAGCATTGGGATCCTCACATGCCATTGCTGCCTATCCTAGCGTGCTTTTACAGCGTGTGACCTCGACCGAGGGAACTCAGAGAGAAACTGGTAAGTTTCATTTTGTCAATCCTAGTAGCAGAATATTACTTTTGATGATTTTATGTTCATTGAAAACACAAAATCAAAGAGCAAGAATCGAACACTTATTTCCTTTACGTCTTGTTTCGAATACTATGTCAAAAGAGAAACAGAAGTTGGGTACTAGTGGCTCAAACCTACAATCTTAGCAATCCAGAAGCCTGAGATCTGAGGATCTCAGATGCAAGCCACCAGTATAGGCAGGAAAGTCCATGAGACTCTTATCTCCAGTTAACCAGCAAAAAGCCAGAAGTGGAGCTGTGGTTCAAAGTACCAGCCTTGAATGGAAAAAGCTTAAGGAACAACACACAGGCTTTGAGTTCAAGCTTTAGTACCAGCAAAAACTAAATAGATAGGCAACTAGATAAATAAATGAAGACATTTTTGAAATAACTACTAGTGGAAGGTGAGAGGAAATTTAAAAAAGAAATTATCACACTTTGGAAGGCTTCCCTATCATGTAATTACTATTCTCTTAAAAGTACATAACATTCTCCAAAAGAATATTATATATGACTCTTTAAAACCCATTAAGTCTGACTGAAAAACTCTGGAAGTTGGAGATTATTTCAAGACCCAGGGGTCTATTGATTCAAAGAAACATTTCACAGTTTTTTTTGTCCCTTTTAAACTTGTTCTCATGTTCTTGAGCTTCAGGGTGTCATTAAGAGAAAACGCATCCTGTAGGGTGGGACTTGGATTGATTTGGGAAAAGATGAATTCAAGTCTTCAGAATAAACTCCTATGGGCTCTCAAGGCACTATTGTATGAAGTGCTCTTTAGCTCCAGTCAATTTTGCCATCTTCTGTGTGTTTGGATATTCATACAAGAAATTCAAGCACCAAGTAAAAGCTCATGGGTCCCAAGTTAAGTTCTATGAGACACATTTTCATTAATCCCTCCAGAATTCACAATTATTCACAATAGAACCCAGAATCTTGATGATATACCTTAAGTCTATTTAAAATTTTTGTTTTTATATTAACCCATAGCTAAGGTTATTTTAAGGTTTTGGCCACACAGTCTGAGGCCCTGGAGTTAAGGAACAATGGTGGGTATCAACTAAACTGAATAGCTAGACTCAAGGTGGAAGTAAATGATGGTGCGTATTCACATAGGATGTAGGGAGTGAAGAATGTGAACAGTTATAACAGATAAGGATCTTGAAATCTTGAAGTCGATAATAAGCTTGAAGGTTGAGGCCTAGAGTACTTAACTACCATAAGCTAAAGTTCTATTAATTCTGTGCAGTATTTAGAGTACATTGAGAAATCACATTAAGGTCGATGAAAATGTCCATCTCTGAATAATCTCTGTGTCAGATAAATCATGTCTGTCTTCTTGCAGAAGAATCCTGTGCTCATTGAAGGAGTCATGGCTTTAGTTTAAATGCTGAAATTAATTTAAAATCTTACATATACAGGAGGTTGATTGTTTTATTAGTGCTAATAAACGATAGAAGATAGAATAATAAACGATAGAAGTGGTTTTGAGAGAATCCCAGCTCCAATCTCATATTCTTATGAAATTTAGTGGAAGGCCCAGAATTGCTTGCACCTGTGTGACAAAATTTAAAATTTGCTAATGGTTCTACTCATGCAAAAAGTAAAGGTCTGGAATATTTATTTATAGTTAGGGAATCACAGCTTCATAAAATGGAGGAAACTCTCCATCACAGTGTTTAGGACGAATTAGTACTAAATGAATGGATGGATGCAAATTAAAAGAAGCTTAACAATTGGAGCACTCTTTAGAGCACATTTGTATGTCTCTCTCCACATAACTGATACAAGCAAACCTATAACTGATACAAGCAAAAAAAATTGGGAAAGAAAAAATACTACTTTTTTATAGGTTTTAAAAAATATTGGTTATATCTAGACAGAAGAGAGAGGGTGTCATCAATCTAAGTAAAGGATTGTGCTGCCTACATGCTTTAAAACCAAATTGTTGATCAGTTTTTATACTATTAGTGGTCTCTTACTATTCATATTATTCATTGGGAGTTAGCAGGTAAGGTGGAATATGCTGGAAGTGTAAACAATTGCAAAAATCCATCATTTCCAAAGGCTATTGGTTTGCTTTTCCTTTTGCCTTTAAAAGGCATTGTGCTGGGTGCTGGTGGTTCATGCCTATAATCCTAGCTATTCAGGAGGCTGAGATCTGAGGATCATGGTTTGAAGCCAGCCAGAGCATAAAAGGCTTGTGAGAGACTCATGTCCAATTAACCACCAAAAAGTTGAAGTGGAGTTGTGGCTCAAGTGGTAGAGAATTTACCTTGAGCTAAAAAGCCAAGTGAAATTGAAAGGCCCTGAGTTTAAGCCCTAATACTGACACAAAAAAATCTGAAAAAAGAAAAAAAAGGAATTGTATCTCTAATTAAATAAGAATAGGTATTTAATCAAGACTTTGATGTTTGTTTTCTGCTGAATTGTTCTTCGATAGTTGGAACAACTCTTGTTGTTGTTGTTGTTGTTGTTATAGGGCTTGAACTCAGGGCCTGGGCACTGTCCTTGAGCTTTTCGAGCCAGTTTTCTGGTTCATTGGAGGTAAAAGTAGCATGGAATTTCCTGCCCGGCTGGCTTTGAACCATGATCCTCAAATCTCAGCCTCCTGAGTAGCTATGATTACAGGCGGGAACCATTGGCTACACTTTTTCCCTTGGTCATTTTATCCGTTCCATGACTATATTTATTTACGAGTCTGTTTATTCTCCTTGACCTCAGCTTACATTCAACTGCTCACCCAGATTTTCACCTGCTGAGTGAATTCATACATGCTGTATTCAGCTCAGGAGCTGTGTGCGCTGCCTGTGTGCTCTGTCTCGAAGTTCTTTACCTACAATGTTACAGAGAGTACACCTCCAACGTCACAGGCTTTGCCCAAACTCTTCCTCATCAACCAGGTCACCCCTGAGCAGCTGTTATAACTGAACCCACTTCTCCAAGCCCAACCGCCCTAAGACATTAGGACCTTGTGCAGATTCCATTTTTCTGGTTTTCATAGGTCGGACCTTCCATAATGTAATCTCTGTGAAGGCAGGCCATGTTAACTGAGTCATTCAGTATTAAATCACTTAGACTTGAAATAATATCTGACACTTAGGAAGGGCTTAGATGAACAAAGATGCCATGGCTTTTAAACAATTGGAGTGAAAATAAATTCTATGAAGCATCAAATGTTTCTAGTTTAGTGAAGAAAGTAATCAGAGCTCAAATATGCCATTTTTATTTTGAATGAAAAAATACTAGAAAAGAAAATAGCTGTGGAATTTAGTTTGCTTCTTTTTCTGAGAGAAAGCTTCAAGGAAAAGCTTCTACATGCAGAAGACCTAAAATTATGGGTTAAATAGTAAAAGATAACTTAAAAAACCCGATAGAACTACCAGGAAAGCCCAAGTCAGGAAGCATAAGAAAGCCTGTGCATAGTATGAATTTATGGCACTGTGTCCTTTATTATCATAAAATTAGAATATTTTAAAGCAAAAAAAATGATTTAATGTTGGAAAGGCTTCTATAGTGCGTTTGATGGTAGACATAATATTAAGAACTACAGGGTAGTATAAATTTGCATGTATTTTGACATTTTTGGTCCATGCCCTCTGTCTAAATATGGTTCCTCACTACTTTGCATGTTATTTACAATTACATTTTCACTCAGTCTTACAGATTTTACCAATATGATTATTGCATGTTAGGCAACATTGATGTGTTAGCTTTGATGCTCAGTTATAAATTAGCTTGTATTGCTTTTTCAGTAGGTGAAAATTTAATAGGAAAGATACCTTTCTTGTAGGGTTCTCTACTGTTTCCATTAATAGATAGTTAATAAAAATGTAAGAATTTTATTATCTGAAAGCACTTCTTGCCTCATCTTTAGGAAAATATGAAAAATATTTTAATGGGCTCAATCAACTTTCTTTCAGGCTGGGAGAGATAAGTGCTATGATATTAATAATGCCCATCACATCTCTAAAAGAGACTTTGTAAGATGCGAGACAAACAGTTGTCATCATTTAGTAACATGTCTTAACAGAGATCACTCTTTAGGTACTGTATGCTTGTCAAGAAGAAGAAATCCTTGTTAACAGGGATTAGCTAATTTCTATGAGACTAATCTGAAACTTTAAGAGAGACAATATATAGCTGATAAGTATCAATGTTGTCTAGAGGTAGATTATAGAAACAGCTATCTGAAATAACGCATGGCATTTTTTTTTAAACCTTTTTGTCCTATTGAGTCTGTTGTAGTGTAGCTTGCCCATCTCAGTATTTCATGGTCACACTTTAAGTGTTCACAGACATGGATCATTCATGGTTTCCATAGTGATCTGTCAGCTTGGGACTTTGTGCTTCAAAGACCACAATCACATTTCTGTATTTATATAACCTATTGCAATGCTTGGAGTAGAGCAAACGCACAGCAAATATTTGGGCAAGGAAGGCTAATAGGAAAAGGAAGCAATGGAATATTCCAGAGGGATGAGATGACAAACCATGCCCTAGAATAAGAACCCTAAGCCAGGGTACTTATTCTCAACCACCTAGGTTGTTCCTAGGAATGGAGAAAAATTGTAGCTGCCTTTCATTATTACTGTGTAGGATCTGGGTGAGTATAATACATCTTCTTGGTTTCCTTTGTTCCATTTTCTTTCTGCAGTCTGAAATAAGTCATCTATTGGGTGATTTACCCCATTTATATTCATCTTTATTAGTTTCTAGAAACTGCTCCACCAAATATAGTACTTTTTTTTTCAGTTACAACTGAGTGGAAAGATATTAGACTGAGAGGAGGAGGAGCTCCTGGCATGAAGACGCTAGCCAAGGACAATTATGTTCAATTGCTCAGCATGCTGTGGAATTAATTGCCCATGCTCTTAATTATAAATACTTAATTTATAAAACAGCCTCTAAATGTGCAGGTCCATATTTAAATACATGAACAGTTTTGGTAAATAAGTGTCACTCTGA